TAAATGCAAAACACACAGTTAAAGCAATAAACACATATGTCATCCCAGTACTCACATACTCTTTTGGAGTTATACATTGGACTCACACAGATCTTGAGCAACTCCCAACGAAAACAAGAACAACACTTACTAAGCATATACATCCTCATCCTAAATCTGCCACAGAGAGATTAACCCTTCCACGTAAAGATGGCGGACGTGGCCTGATTGACATAGTTAACCTTCACTACAAACAAATACAGCCACTGCGAGAGTTTTTCTACGAAAAACAAGAAACATCACAGTTACATAAAGCAGTAACTGCAGCAGACTCATATAACACACCATTAAATTTACACTCACATCACACATATCCTACCAACAGGGGATGAAAACCCGGGACCACTCATAGGTATTGCCCGGGTGTGAAAAGAAATAGAAAAAGATGTTAAGTGAAGAGGCGAAGGGGAAAAACGAAAGTATGATAGGACAGGGGATGAAAGGGAACTCACATCACACAGACATGACACAACATATAAAAAACAGACACCAGCAAGCAATCGTGGGCTCGAAAGGCACTCCATGGCAGGCATCCTTATGACCTGGCCCAGGATTTTGTTGACAAAACTGCATTAAACAGTTGGTTAGATCGGGGATGCCTCTTTGGGGAGACGGAAGGATTCATGATTGCCATACAGGATCAGGTCATAAATACTAAAAAATACAGAAAACACATAATCAAAGATACAACACTCACAAATGACACATGCAGAAAATGTCACATCATGCCAGAAACTATACAACACATCACTTCTGGTTGCAAGCTCTTGGCACAGACAAATTACTTACACAGACATAATCAAGTAGCAAATATAATACACCAAGAGCTTGCAAAGAAACACAACTTGGTAGACATTCACGAACCATACTACAAGTATATTCCACAGACAGTATTGGAAAACAACACGCACAAAATGTACTACGACAGAGCCATAATCACAGATAAAACAATTTATCACAACAGAACAGACATCACACTCGTTGACAAACACAATAAAATCACATACATTATAGACATAGCCGTTCCAAACACTCACAATGCACAAAACACATGCACTGAAAAAATTAGCAAGTACACAAAACTCGCCCAGAAAATTAGGCATCTGTGGAAGATGGATAGGGTGCTTATTGTACCTGTCATTCTCTCCTGTACAGGTGTGATACCACACACACTACACAAAAACCTGGGAACATTACAATTGAATAGAAATACATACATCATACTACAGAAGGCCACTATATTGAATACATGTCATATTGTTAGGAAATTCCTGAATACAGACACAGACACACTTATTTAATTTTAGTTTTGTTTTGGTTGCTATGCCTTGACTCTGGTCCAGCATAGTACACAGCCACCGATGTCAACCGAGTATAACCCACTAAACCCAACATAATAATATGTATTAATTTTAAAATGTAATCCAAAAAATCAGCTTTTTAATAATTAATTATATTAAAAATTAAAATCATTCAACATTTAGAATAATTTTTAATAATATCAGATTAAATAAATTTAATCTGATATTATTAAAAATTATTCTAAATGTTGAATGATTTTAATTTTAGTAAGTGTACTTGTGTACTTTAATAATATCAGATTAAATAAATTTAATCTGATATTAAAGTAGGCCTAATTATTAAAAAGATGATTTTCAAAATTGATAATTGTTTTGAAAAATTAATAAAATTTTTCAAAACATTTAACGAAAAATTCTCAATTTTTTATGTATTTTAGAGATTTAATTATAATTAATTAACCTTCAAAAACACAATTATTCACCTAAATGAATATGATAAATGATAAAAAAAACCCATTAAAAATGACCCAAGGGATGAATTTAAGTGTATGTGTTTTTTTTCTCAAATCATTTATTTTATAGAATAATAAAAAAAATCATTAAAAATTCCAATAATCTCCTCACCATTTTTATAACTTTCATTATTTCTAGCAAACTTCTCTTGTATTAAATCTCTCACACACTCGTGAATATATATATATTGATCCTGGATAAACAAATAACCTGTAAATGTTTTGAATTTATATATATATATATATATATATATATATATATACTTCTAAAAAACTTATACAAACCTCCGTTTGTACCATATTTGTACGATGCTGTCTCATATCTAGAACGATGTGAAACACATCTATCACGTCATATAGTTCAATATGCTTTGCTAGCCTATCGACAGCTATAAAAGTACCTGTTCTACTTACTCCAGTACTGAAAATATACAAAAGTTTTTTAAAAAGTAACTAAAAGAGTTTAAAAACATGCGATAAACTTATATAATATGATCACAAGAACACAGATCGGTATATTGTATCACATGAGTAATTTCTTTTTTTTATAAAGAAAATCCCCTTTATCAAATTTTAGATAAAATAGTCTGTGACCTACAAAATGTAAAAACTTTCGTGTCGTATATCAGAGGATTACAATTTTGTCAGTGTATAGTGCTCAACCAACGTGTTATGATTATAATTGAAATTATTGTAGATATAGAGCTAAGGTTTTCCAGAGCTATGAAGAAGGAGAAACGTAGCTGACTTTATGGAACTGGTTAAAGAAATCTTCAGAAACAGAGCTAACATTGAAATCATATGGTGAAATGCCAATCATGCTAGATCACGGTAAGGTTATAAAATTTTCAGAAACATTAGGACAAGACAATAATCAGGCAAATTCGCTCCTTCCATGTACGCGTAGCTGCAAGACATGACCTCTCTTCGCTCCACAGTATCGCCAAAAATGTTATATGGAGATTATGTTACGTACTTCAAAATATTTAAAGTTAAATACGTGAAATTAAAATCATTCAACATTTAGAACAGTGATGGCGAACCTATGACCCGCGGGTCAGATACTGACCCACGCAGACTTTTTAAATGACCCACGCGTTGATTTTTATGAACTAATTTTTTATATCATAAAAAAGAGAGAACAGACAATCAAATTTATTAAAAAATAACGTATATATATCTAATGTCGAATTTATAAAAAAAGCAGTCTAAAGGCCCGATGCAGATACATTTCACTTAATTTTATATCCATACAAAACGGAATTCGAAACAATGGAGTTAACTTATGTGGCTAGGTATCCATGATTTAGAAATGGAATTAGTTGAATTTCAAAGCAGCATAGTGTGGAAAAATAAATTTGAAAACTTGCTTTCTAAAGTAGGACAAATGTTTGAAAGTAGTACAGATAATAATGACCCCGCACTAAAAATTGAAAATATTAAACGTATGGGATTCTTTACCTAATAATTTTATATCAATGAAGAAATTTGCTAGTGCTCTTTTAACGATGTTTGGGTCCACATATTCGTGTGAATTGTTTTGTTCAATGAATTTTGTAAAATCTACCAATAGAAATAAACTTGGAAATGAATTGACTGCAAAATTCGTTAAACTAATGAATACGGAATATGAACCTAATATTAAGAAACTATCTGAAAATAAACAACAACAGATTTTTCATTAAATATACTGTACTTCAAATTTATTATCAACTTTATTATACATACACATACCTGTAACTACATCTATTAATAAATAATATTTCGTAATATAAGTTATATGTGATTTTCTTTATTCCTTGTTCATTCAAATACTCGGTGCAGGGGAGACTGCTGACTGAACATGGTGTCACCTGGTGTGGTAATTCGTAGTATCACTCCATTGATAGCAATATTTTTTACGTCAACCTTTATTTTTTGCTCTTCACTTGCAAAAATAAAAGTTGTAAAACAAAAATGAAACGGAAACTTTTTATAGGATTTTAAAAGTGCGAACAAAAAAAAAGTAGTTTTTAATCTTCCTCCCCTCCCCAATTTACGCCACTGACTTAGTGACCCACGAACTAGTACTAAAAAAATAATGAACAAAATTTGACCCACTTCTCAAAAAGGTTCGCCATCACTGATTTAGAACGTATTAAGTGTAATTGTAAATTTTACTCCTAAAAATTTAATGACTGAAATGCACATATACAGGCATACCTCGACTTACGTCGTTTCGAGTTACGTCGTTCCCGATTATACGTCGTTTGTCAAAAAAGTATATGGAAAAATAAAAATCGAGTTTAAGTCATTTTATTCGACTTTACGTCCGCCCGCCACAAATATTGAAGTCGTAATATCACTAGAAAAACGTTTAAAGCACATAAAATCATATTAAAATATATACGAATATGTTCTGTATTTACAGTACACGCATTCGTAAATTTAGAATACTTTTTTCTGTACTATATTAAAAACTAAAATTTATTTGTTTGTACATATATTATTAAAAATGCATTAATAAATAAAATACAGAACAGGGAATAATAATTTATGGTTTAGCCTAGTGACAAGTAGATTCGGAGACAAGTAAATTCGACTTACGTCGTTTTCCTGGAACCAATTAACGACGTAAGGCGAGGTATACCTGTATTTTTATTTACAGACAAATGAGTTGACAAAGAAAATGAAACTATACTGAATGATTCGAGTGACTCGAAAGAAAATAATACGGACAAAATAGATACAAAAGAAAATGAAAAACATCAATTAAAAGCAAAAAAAAAAAAAATTGAGGAAAAGTGCTTTGAATATTTTCATTCCAATAGTCAACGTTATGTAAAATGTGTTACATGCTATGAGTTTCCGTGAATAGTACAATTATATTCTCACTATAAAAGGAGTCCTCCAATCACGCTACTAGTGATTGGAGGACTCCTGAGTGAGACAAGCATTAATCGAAGATCATTTAATCAGTATGTTGCACAAAGAATGTGATAAAGCATTAAAACAGTTGTAATTTACACCTACTGAAATTCTTCAGAAAACTTCAATCGGTCAAAGGGATCAGTAAAGCAAATCTTACTTTAGCTAATCATACCGGGAAATTAATGCTTATGGAATAGCCAAAAAACTCACGATATCCGGGAATGCTTTTCCATCTTTGAATGTCGCAAGTAAAATAGCAGAAAAGTTCAGTTTTGACAATTTTTATTTTTAAAAAGAAGACCAAGATATCAATTTTCAATACACATCGCCGAGTTGTATTAGAGAATTTCTGGAGATCATTGTAAATGCTCACAAATCTAATCTCGTAGTAGTAGTCATTTCAGCATTGGCTATTTCTTTGAGATGCGATGGATCGTCTTAGATAGAAATCAAATCAATAAAATATATACAATGGCACAAGTCGTTACTAAATCTGTAGATAGTAAGCTTTACTTCACAGGTTTTGTTGAACCACGTGAAAGAGAAACAAAAGGATTACTTGAAGCTGTACAGATAGGTTGCGAAAATTCTTTAGGCTGCGAAGTTACAAATGTTTTTAAAAATGCATCGTGTATAATAACGGATGGTGCAATATTGGTCAAAAAACAGGTTTTTGGAGTTTGTACAAAAAAAATTTATGTATGTATTGGAAAGCGAAGAAACTGCAGAATTAGTGCCCCCGTTAAAATACAGTATTTGGTGTGTGGCTAACAGGTTAAAAAATTTATTATTTCATATTTTTTTATTATTTATCAGTTAGATTTACTGTGAAAAATAAATGTATTACGAAATATTAAATCTGGATAAAAATTATTACTTTCATTAAAGTTTCTTGTTGTTTGATATTTTATCTATACTAATATAATAAAGAGGTAATGTTTGTATGTATGTAAGTTTGGATGCAGCAGGTAATCTCCAAAACTACTCATCCGATTTCAAAAATTTTTTCACCAATATTTAGAATGGAACGTCAGGGTGGACATAGGCTGTATATTATTCCGTTAAACATGGGGGATGGACAGTTCTTTACGGTAAGCCTTACGGGGAAGGCTTACCGTAAAGAACTCTGCTTCTATTTATACTATTTTAGATGCGGTTTTTTGCATTTTTGATTGCATTTTAATAGGGTACGTCAACAGAATGTACAC